CGATCCTTTATCACCCAAACTCTTTAATGCCTGTCTCGAAATGGTGTTCCGGAAATTGAACTGGAAGGAGAGTCTGAACATCAACGGCGGACATCTGAATCATCTGCGCTTCGCACACGACATAGTACTTATCGCAAAAGATGCTCGAGAAATGAAGGAGATGCTGCAAGAACTCAACGAAAGAAGTAAAAAAAGGTGGTAAAATTAAAGCCACGAAAACGAAGGTGAAAGGAGGTGTCGGCATGCCCAATGCCAATTTACAGTTAGACGGCGTGGACTTGGAAAAAGTCAACCACTGTGTCTACTGCACCTCGATGTTTAACCGGGGATTTTACGTCGAGGGCTGCCAGATGGCACGAGTTCTATAGCATCATCGATGTCCTCCAAGTATCCTACCAGAAAGACCGTGTTCGCCTCTTCAACAGCATAGTATTGAAGGCAGTGACGTATGGATGCGAAATTTGGGCACGGACGAAGGCAAAAGAAAATGTACTGCCTGTGACGAGAGAGCAATGGAACGAAAGATGCTTAGAATATCTCTTCGTAACCAATCGACAATAAAACACTCCGCAAAATGAGTAGCCTGCAAAATATCGTATGAGCCATGAGAGAGAGCAAGATCCGTTGGTCAGGCCACGACGCACGTCTTGATGACAACTGATGGACCTCGCATATTTTCGAATGGTTCTCGAGGGAAAGAAAACGACCACTCGGGCGACCTCCGATGAGGTGGCGGACGGACGTAGAAGAAATATCGGGAAAAAACTGGATACAAACTGCCAAGGACAAAATGGCCTGGCATGATTGTGGTCGGCGTGTGGGAAATTCGAAGAATCCATTCTGAAGCCCGAGCAATCTTGGAATCTCGGAATATTACAACTAGTCAAGAAAATCAGCATCACGAACATCTTGTTCTGTATAAAATCCAACCTGACCAAAATCAACACTGGCAGGGAAATACATTCAACCAGAATTTTTTATGAACTTTTTATTAATTGCAACAAGTGCAAACCGCGTATCTTGGCCCTCTTCTGAGTGCAGATGATGTTATGTCAAGAATGAGATCGCCAACGTCTAATAATGGCACCAGCTTGCTTGATAAGACTGACCAGAACATGTCCAAGTCGCCTCACTCACAACTTCACCAAACTTAGACTTATCAAACTTCTGATCTGACTCGTTGCAACTAACAGAAATGGAATGTGAACGGTCAGTGGGGCAGGACATCAGTTATTGAAGTATTTGAGTCATGGGAGCGCAGGCTACTAATGCGAATCCGCTGGAAAGATTTCGAAACCAACATGCGGTAACTAGACGCTCGATCTGTAAAGTTAACATAGATGCGATAACGGTTATATTTTGGCAGCATCATGGGAAAGGAAGGTTATGTGTTTTCTGCCAGATCCTAACTTATTACAACTTTACATGCATTATTATATCAGTCTATGACTGATCTTGCGACTTTACATGTATATTCAGAGGATCGTCAAAATTCTGCACTTCCGCAAGCCATGGCGTTTCCTTCGAAGACATACCGCTGCGAACTTAACGTGCTTCAAACAACTTTGCGAATTATTCGGTTATCCGTATGGATTGTAAAATTAATATCCGAAACCCAATCAAATCCAATGGGAAGCCACCGTAGTATCTTTTGTAAGACGTACTTGTCACATTTGATTGACGACATCGAACCCTGCCGAAACTCACGTATTTCATGGTAGCCAGTTCATGAACAATTCAGATATTACGTAGGGTTATGTGACGTTGATGTACATGTTCTTTCAGATCATCACCTTGAGCCGATATTGTCACCCCAGTTTTGCCGTCAGTTTGTACAGAATACCTGGAGGACGATGAAATAGTGTTACGGTACACCGAATGAACACCATCGGTTCGCACTGCAGAAATTACTTTATCAGAGCATAGAGAAAAACCTGTTAACTAGAAAACCAATAAACCGCTGGCACCGAGATTTTCTCCGCAAAGCACAGTCAAATCAAAGAATATCAGATCTATGTCTAGACGGCAAAAATCGGCAGGTACGGAAAATGGCAGCGATAGACGAATGAAACTAGTCGACACTGTTGATCGTATCCTCAGTAACGACGACAAACTTCTTATTCTTTCGGCTGAACAGGCTAACTTCACCGGTGTAGATGTTGAACCACATTGCATGTATCTTGACCTTTCCACTTTCTAACGGGTCTCTGATGATCGGATACGAAGCTATATTTTCCAGTTGCTGTAGACAGTGGATCTAAAGCGAAAAATGCAAGATTAAACTGTAATATACATTCCGCTAAAAATCAATTAACATATTCGGCATAGAGGATTGCCGATGAGCAAAAATAAAACGGCTTGGTAACGCAATTTCTAGGATATATTTAAACAGGCAGATATTTCTGTAATAGTCTGTGTTAGCACAGTGTGCCGTGCGCTAATGACAAATTAACTCCAATGTCCATCATATAAGACGACATAAATATACAACAATATGCGAAGTGGTATACGACGTTAAATATGCTTCGCCGTATTACGTACACCTACACGGTTTAAGCGAGAACGCCTGGATAACTTCATTCCCCCCCCCAGTCTAAGACCAAAACGAAAATACCTTAATCTCTTTAAGTTGGATAAGCTTTCAGTGTCCACGACAACACTTTGATGGTGATGATTACGACGAATATGAAGAGGATAGTTACGACACTTATGAGAATGGTAATAACTCTACTGATTATTATGATGATTGTACTGATGATACTAATGAGGGTAACAGCTTACAATAATGGCAATAATTGTGATTACTGCGATCATTAAGATTGTGATCCTGACGACAGTTACGATGGTAATTGTAAAAGTTCCATAAACGATGACTGTGGCTGTAGTAATAATGTTAGTGGCGGTGGTGGTAACGATGAAGAGGAGAATAATCGATTGCTGTGTTGAATGTGACAATGATGACTGTGATGATTATGCTGACTGTTACAGTAAAGATTACGTGATGATATGGCTGCGATGGTAACGATGCTCGTGAGGATAATAACCATAATGAATGTGATAATGATTATGATAGCGATCATGATCTTGATTTGATAGAGATTATCCTGACGATGATCGTAATGATGAGGTAACTTTAAAATAAGTCA